TATATCCAAAGTTGGTAGAATCTAACGATTGTAAATCAAATCCCATCGGGTAGAAGTTAGTTGTTCGTAGTTGTTCTTTGGATTTTACATGATGAACTATTGATTCACCTTTGATGAACCAAGACAGTAACATGAAACCACCAAGCATTCTGCTTGATACGATTGGACGTTACGAGCGGTTGGGAGGCGCTGATGCAGCAAAGAATCAGCCCATAGATGACCTGAGGAGACCTGCTTCAAAAGGTTTCTTTTTATTGGACGTAACTTGATGCACAAATATGATCAATTCAAGACAGTAGCGCAAACTCTTGGTCTTAAGTCTGTGAACTGAAATTGCGAAGACTAAACAACAACTTCTTGTGCATGTTCCAAACAAGGCATGCCTCGCATCTTCGCTGGTGCGTCAGAGGAACGGAATACTCGGACGCAGTGTAGTACAGTCATCGACAGAATTATGGAAATGGAAAAAAGGTTCGGCATGGGTCGGTAAAAATCTGCGTTGCGTCGGGCCGTATATTTCCATAATTCTATTTTACTCATAAAAATGCAGAAATCTAAAATCTCTCTTGTCGCTTCTCCGGAGCCTTTTGCGATGGGGCGTGGCGAGCTGCAGGTAAATTTCCATATATATATATATATTGTTTTTTTCATGTGAGGGTGCTTCTTGGAATTGGACCATTTCCATAATTCTTTTTGCCATGGCTACAGTGCATAATTTATGGTAACCCTTATGACTTATGACCCACTGACCATGTCCAGAATTCTGTCGACGACCAAGTTAGCCAACAAAAATGAAGAATGTTCACTAATCGAACCTGCAAAACCCGGCCATTGACTATGTACTTTGGGGGAAACAAACATGCAAATTCACTGTAAACCAGCTGGTTTGGAGGATCAGGATCTCATAGTAATTTATGGAGTTAGAGTACAGTAGTTGCTTTTAGCCACCTCGATCTATCTTGACAATACCCCTATATTTTGCATCGAAATGCACAGGTTCTCAATATTTGACAATAAATTTTCCGTTATCGGGCTCACGTCATCTCACGGCCCACAAAATGTCTATCTAAATGATCCTAAATAATATTAAATAATTATGTATCAGGATGTACAAACGGGTCTCAATTAGGCACCCCTTAAGGGGGATAACCATTAGGCACCCTTTAATTTTTAAGGTTCCAAATTCCAAACTATCAAATAATGAGGTATTCATATAGTAATATGTGCATTTTTCTTCGATTTCCCCACGTTTGCTTCCAGAAATGCGTGTCATTTCGTGTCATTGCCGTGTCGTGTCGGTCATAAGTGGTCACGATTTTTTTTTAAGAAATCAAGAAGAACATGCGTGTCATTGCGTGTCACTGCCGTGTCGTGTCGGTCGGTAGGGGGTGTCCAATAAGCACCCCTTAGGCAAACGGGTGTCTAATAAGCACCCCTTAGAAACGTGTCGGGTGCTTTTTGAACAACCCCTGCGCG